AAGGAGCGCGCTATATACGTAAGGTGCGTTATAATATTGGCAAAATTTACGAGGCTTTTTCGAGATGGGAAAGCTCGAGACCGACAAGTAATACGCGATCTCTTGAATATCGAGCAGAGAGAGAGAGATCCACTGTGGCTCATATAGACTGATGCGAACAATTTATTTATAGCTCTCGAGCTCATCTACTCGCTACAAGATTGACGCTGAACATTCAAGTGCCTCTGTGGACTCATGTCTAATGCTAAACATATTATGTTCAATTGCAAAATTACTCAACGGCAATTACCATTAGCGCAAGTTATTTTTATGCCTAACAATACGGGAAAATGTTTTTAACGTTATTGAAATTTTGTAAATTTTACGAGATTGGTCAAAGAATTTAAAAATTCAAACCTCGAGTAAAAAAGCAATCGGTCCCAATACTTTTTTATACATTCGGTTACTACATTAGATACCCAATTTACAGTAATTGATTGAAAAATTCCCAAGTCAGGTATTCCATTCCGAAAGATGGAGCCACAATCTTGTTTTTGCTGTGCGAATGAAACAGAAATTGTTGTTACCGTCGTTTGAAAATGTATGAATTTATTAATTTTTAAATTCCACGTTAAGTTGAATTATTTCATCACGACACTTATTTCACGACTCTTGATAATTAACCTTCTTGAAATAACTAATAAAAACATAAATATTAAAAAAAAATAAAAGTTTTATAGAGGACTTGCAAAATATTGTTGTTTCATTCCGAAAGATGGAGTTAAGAGTTAAATTTTTCATGAGCTTGAACGTAGAAACAGACATTACCGACTTACTAATGCTATCAAATTTTAGCAGATTCTCTTTAAAAGAAAAAATATTTAAATAACAATTTATGACCGACGTTTCATTATCGATTTATCTGTATAATAACCACTTCAAAATGGTTGGACTTGTATTTATAAATTCACTTTATTGCTTGCAGATTTGAAGGTATATAGGTACACGCCGTCTAGTGGTAATGGTTAACTGTAATTACGATTGACTTTACATACATTTTTTGATCATCGCAAAAATAAATCAGTATTGAAACGTTAATTTTCAATCAAAATTTTTTAACTTGAGCATTGAATGAAACTTTTTTTCTCCGTTATAAATAATGCATCTGATTGCATTATTATTATTTTTTTGTACAGTTAATGTGAGAAAAGTTATCATTAATACTACATTAAATTTAAAAGAATATTTCATGTGAAATATCTTCAGTAAAATTGAGTATTGAGTATTTAAATTGTAATGTCTGTGTACGTAAAGAGATATTTGCTTCAGCTAATACAGCTTTATAAAAACATTTTAATTAGAAATATTCAAAATATCTAGCAATTTTTTCACGTATCAAACTCTTATGGTGCTTATGATTAATAATTGTTAGTAATTCGTTGTTTAGAATTGTCATTTGTTATATGTACGAGGAATTGTGAAATGTTTTTATAAAAAAAAATAAGTAATTGAATAAATATTTTTCTTTACCGCAAGTAATTTCATATATCACTACATGTCATCCAATTTTCATATTATAGATCTAAAAGCTCTATTCAGGAAAGGCCAATTTTTCAACTCCACGCGTACAAAAAATTGTATTTCCAGTAATGGAATTTTTAATTCAGATAAAAATGTCTACGTGTAAGGTTTTTGCACAGTCCATTATCCTCATATCTTGGATGAAAAGCAGAGCAAATTAGGGAAGTACTTGAAATTTACACGAAACTCGGCAAAAGTTTGGCTCGCGCGGAAATGGTGTTTCCAATGTACGCGGTGGCATTAATTTTCTTGGTTTTTGAACTTTTCAACTTTTAAACTCTCAGTCGGGTTATCGGGAGAAATCACGCAAGTGTTGCGCTTTTATTGTTTCGTTTTTTTTTCCCTTGCCAATTGCAATTCGACAAACAAATAGCTGCAGTTTCACTTGGTCTTTCATGTTCAAAAGTGAATCGTAAAAAAATGTACAGGTTTCAGCAGCGATGAAAGGAAAAAATAAAGCGGCTGTCACCCCCTGGCGAAAAACTTGATTTATAGTCGTAAAAACTCGTTCGTGAAGTGAGCGCTCGAGTTCGGCCAAAGGCTTAAACTTTGATGCAGTGCAAACGATCGAGTCACTCATTTCTCTGTAAGCATTATCATGAGCCAGGAAATTTTTCCAACCGACAAAATATCAAGCCAAATGATCGATGGAAGCCATTTTTTGGTAGAAAATTTCAAACTATATCCTACTTTCGAATAAGGCACGAGAGAGTCTGTAAATTAACTCTGGGTCGAGATAGTTTAAATACGTATGCATTGCTCGAATTGCTCTTAAAGCTAGTTTCTTCGTCGATCACCTCCTCGACCCTGTTTCAGACTCAAAATGAGAATGTTGAACCTTGAGCAAATGGTCTCTGAACGTTGTTCCAAGTTAAGATATCAATGTTCGCTAGAATAATACTTGCTCGGGCTTTTTTCTTTACAATTTTGCCCTCTCGGTATAAAAGCCAGATTTTCTTTTCAATGAAAAACGAACAAGTGCTAAGCCTAACGTAGCTTTTTAATTTTTTCGATGCGAGCTAAAGAAAAATTATTCAATCTGGTACAGGTAAAAAAAAGTCATGTTTTTTCTTCAAATACGTAAATTCAATCGAAGCAATCGTTAGCAATCGTACATACTGTTCCTCCCCCTCATTCGCATGTCCGTCTCTTGAAACGACGTCAGCAGCTGCAGTCAACGGTCTGATTTAAAATATAAACACAATTGCGTCTAGTTTGCTATTGAAAGTTCAACCTCGACCTCAAAAAGCAAAGGAGAAAGCAAAAAAAAATAGAGAGAAAAGAGTCGAAAAATCACCGAAAATCCGAGAGAGCCGCAGCCGCAGCATCCCTCGCACAGAGAGGCTCGCGCGTATACGTACCAAGTCACATTGGCTCTCTGTACTCGGAGGGGATCGATAGCCAGTGACGTCACAGCTCTCAGTTGACTGACGTCACCGCGGCAGGAGCGCGAGCTGCTGCATCCATCTCTCGTCGCTGGCGCGGGCTGCTGCTGCTGCTGCTGCTGCTGCTGCTTATATTCGTACATCGATCTCGATGTGACGAGTAGCACAGCTATATATGCACAAAAGCTCGGCTGGTTCGTTTATCTCCGGGCGCGCATTGCGCGATTTTTTTCCCTGCCTGCCTGCCTGGCTGGCTAGCTCTCGCCCGCAGTCGCTGAATGTACAATGGAGTTGTATGTGCCTCGAGCAAATAGCGAATTTCAATCGGTCGCAAGAGGAGGAGGAGGATCGCAAGCTGCACCTCGCTATATGTAAAATTATTTATATATATGTTGACGCGAAGGAACAATTTGCTCGAGCTGCTCATTAATCATACACACGTGTGTGTTCGAGGACGTCCTAGATTTTAGAAATGCAATTTAGCTCCAACAACGTCTCTCTGCACATGATATAATAGAACGGCAACAAACGAAAAACGAATAGTCGCCAGAGCGAGCGAGGATGAGCCCCTCATAAGAAGCTTTAGAAATGCTAAATTTATCTTATCAATAGATCAAAGCGCAGAGTGAATTTCGCAAGGCCAAGCCGCAGCTATTTCCCTCATGGCTCATAGCTTATTGGTTCAATGAAAGCGATCATCTCTACTTTGGCGCTTTTTTCGCTCATCCTTATCGCGTACTCATATACGAACTTGCGTCGAGTCCCTGAAATTACAAAAGCTCCCGTATACTCCACGAGCTCCTATGTAATACAGCTATATTTGTACATTCGCTCTGGCGTTGGTTGCCCCCCGTCGGCTGTACGTCGGAATTTCCGATCGCGTGATCCGACGTCGCGGCGGCGGCGGCGGCACACACGTGTACCTATTCTACCTACGTGCAGCTACTCGCGACGTCGAAAAATATAATCTTCGCGCGGAATAGGCGAAACGATCGGGTAACTTATTATACGCTCTTAATCTTGGCAGCCAATCGTGTCTGCGGATCGATCGGACTTGTATATCAAAGGCATTTGCTGCACACGCTTAGGCCGATGCGTATCGGGCCTACGTCGCTACGGCGCTTATGCCAGATAGCTAGCACATATATATATAGGCTATAGCTCGTGGCGGTACCAATGCACCCCGCTTTATTTCTCGCTCTGTGTGTCGAGCCAATATATACGTATATACGTATGCACATGCAGTCCCTGTCACGATCGTCGTGTTGTACGTTATATATAGGTATACCTACATGCAGATGTGTGTAAGGACTGTGTGTGCTCGCGGCGCATCGATTCGCCGCCGACGCGAACTACGCGTGACGTCACCCGACACAGCACCTATACATAGGTAGTAGAGGTAGTAGCGTTAAACTCTACTCTACTCTCGGCCGCTCACTGTACTGCGCCTGGACCAAATCGGGTCAAACGTCGTCGCACACGCGAAAAACGGCGCAACGTGCGCCGCCGAGCACGCGTTCAATGGGCAACTATAGCTGCTTCCATGTATATAGCTTATACAGTACTCTACAGTCTACGCAGCCTGGTTGCCCGAACTCGGCCTATGCGCGCGAGTAGGCAGATTCAAGCTCCCAATGCTGCATCTTCGGCCGGGATATTTGCGTGGGTGGCCGTTCACGAGCCGCGCTAAGCCAGAGCTCGGCTCTACGCTGCTCCTGTATACTGATCCTGTGCTGGCCACGAAAATTCTCCGCATTCTTCCGTTATGAGCTATATCGATTGGTCGCGTACGAAGCGTAGCCCAAGAATAATAAATTTTTGGAAGAAAAACCAGAGAGAGAGAGAGAGAGAGAGAGAGAGGGAGAGAGAGCTGAAAAAGGGAGTAGTAGCGACCTCTCGCACTCACCTTCTCCGTCGTTGCTGCTGCTGGCTCTTGTTGGTGCCTCCTCCGCTGCACAGGGGGCTGTTATCGATCGCTGCGAGGCCACCGGCTGATGCTTCCACGCTCCGCTCTGCTCTCGCACTCTCGATGTGTCTCAGTGGCTGCCCGGCCACCACGCCGGCAACTGCACTTTATCGCGCCTTTTTCCTACGCTAGACCCTACGCGAGGCGAATTTCGTCGTTTCGCTGCTCTAGCCTCCTTGACAGCGGCGGACAATTTTTTTTTCGCTAAAAAGTCCACGAGTGAGTGCAAACAAAAAGAGTGCGCGGTTATTATTTCCAGGCAGGATAAAGCGTTTTCGTACTCGCTTCTTCCACGGCCAAAGGTACCAAGGACTCGCTTCTATTGTACTGCTGCTCGTTGCAACCGCCTGTGAGTAAAAAAATATTACCTCGTATTCAAAATTTTTTCTCGCTTGATCCAACTGGAAAAATCTCTAGCTCTGGCAAGAACTCGGCTGCAAGTATCGTAGCGAAAAAAATCCCGATGCGCGATAAACTTTTATTTCTGGCGGATAGTTTTTCACGACTAGCTACATCGCTATAGTTTTTTGCGCGCTTTTCGGCGCACCGCAGTAGCCTTCCGGCGTTGTCGCAGCCGCCAGCTTGCATGTGTGTAGCTAGCTACCACTCGAGCGTGTATCGGGAAAAAAAAATTTTTTATATCGAATGCTCGATTGGCTTTGCCTCGAGTCGACGAAAGCACAAATACACTCGGAGACACAGACGAGCGATTTGCACGACAAAGGCGCACGGAGCAATTGTTTCATCTCTCGGCGCCTACATATGGATTAATGAATACGTTTATGCAGCCATGTGCATAGTCGTACAGAAGCAAAGGGCGATAACGAATGTATATGTACATGCATGCGTGCCGATGTCAGCTCATGAATAAGCATGTATCGCGGCTAAAGCCGCAGAAAACGACTGATCAGCAGCAGCAGCAGCAGCAGCGAGTATTACTACTGCTACTACGTTGCGCGTGTTTCTGGCAGTGGGCGCGACAACGACGACGACGACGACGACTGTCGATAATATGCTAATGAAATCGGAAACAGCCCTCGAGAGCAGCCGCCACACGCCTCGAGTAATTACGCACCAAAGCTAATTATCCAGAGACCCTGGAGTGTGCTCTCGGCTTTTTTTTCTCGATATACTCGATATAGCTCGCTCGCCTACGTTACAGGGAGCAGCTCTTTTCGTCCTCGGGATACGCTGCGACGTTATCGCGACTTTTTATTTCCGTGTACGGCTCGTCGCCTCTATCGATTCCATTTCCACTTTGTACTTTTTTCGGAGCACACATTATGTACTTGTCACGGAAGCTCTTCCATCCTATATTCCGCACGGTGCATACGTTTGCGAGGCACATCGCGTCCCACGAAGGCAGCTCGCTCTATCTCTTTATCGTTGCGACCTTCTTCGCCTGACTCGCTCGGCAGCACTCAAAGGGCCGGGCCGCCTACTACTTGTTTTTACGCGTAAATCAGTTTGGTGCACGCGAAATTTGCGTTGCCAGTTTTCCTTTCTTTTTTTTTTTTTTTTTTTTTTATTACAAAGTGTCTCTCGACGACGTCATTTGACAGACATAAATACACGCCAATCGCGAATAGCGAATAACTCAAATGTTTCTGCGTGCAAAACGATTTCCTTTTCTTCCGTGTATGTGTGTTTTTTTCGCGGCACGCGAGATATAACTCTCGCTGCACGTAGAATCTACAAATCAATGCGCTTATTTTTGGTATATATACGAACGGTGAAATGATAAACGAAAAACGATACGTTGGCTCCAACTTTTAGCCAAGTTCAAACGTCAAAATTGCCCCCGCGTATCGCACCTTATCGTTTCTTCATTCTCGTGTATAATTACCTCATTCAAGCCACTGCCGCCGCCGCCGACGCCACACACACATATCTCGCGCGCCCCTCAAAGTACCCCGACTCACGAATATTATCCAATCGATCGCCAACCAGCGAGGAAAAATGATAATCGCGTCGAAAAAAAATGCACGTGTGAATTAACGATATCGTCGTCCTTCGCCATTAACGGCCCTACGACGTTTCAAGGCGATACACCCCGCCGCCGTAACGTATACGCGACGTAATCTCGCCGATAGGGATCTCGCGCAGCCTTTGAATAAGCAGTAGTTTAATTTTGTCAATTTTCGTGCTATTCGAATCGATGAATCGAGATAACGCCTCGCCGTGATGTGTGCGTGCCCGTGTGTGGGTGTGTTACGTAACGATTTGCATCGGTTGGCCGCTACGCAGACATCGATATTCTTTCTTTTTTTTTTCCTTTTTAGAGCATACACGCCCGCTGCTGCTGATTTGTCTATACGTGTATATCGCACGCGGCACAATCTATACACGACGGCGGCGAATCTATAGAGTCGCTCTAACCGAGATAGGGGCTATGTTACCCAGATAGAAAATATGTGAAGGAGAGCTATAATACACATCTTGGGCCAATGAGAGGTTTTTATATATTATGAAAAGAACAGCGGGACATTAAATTACTCTGGACTCGATAAAAATAACCACTATTTATCGCTACAAGGTTTAATTGGCATCTTTTCTTTTTCTGTTTTTTTTTTCTATTGGCTGCCAGTCGCTTGTAGGTATGTATGTTTGTTTGTTTTTTTTTCTACAACAAACTCGGTCTCGATATCTTTCGCAGCTCTGTATACGTGATCGCATTCTTCGCGCGCATAAAACGCAGCTAGAGCCCCGAAAGTCTCGCTTGACCAGCTTATTTCGATAAAAAATGTTTACGGCCCGATACATAAAGGAAGACGCAGTAGGCGATAGATCGTCGTACGGGAAAAATGCAGGCAGCGCGAGCTCATTGTGCGACGCCTAAGCAAACGATCGCTCACGCTCGAATCGTAAAAGAAATGTCTCGGAAAACGCGTCGACGCGCGGCTCTCTCTCTCTCTCTCTCTCTCACTCGCTCTCGTGTACGCGACCGAACTAAAGCCCGTATTATGTGGTACATATAAAATCCCTCAAAGTGTGTGCGTAACGTTGTTCATATATTTACATATAGACTGTATGCCGAGTTTGTGTAGCTGCCTGCGTGAGATGTATCTGCTGTAGGATACGCTACTCGTGCATCATACATCCAGGCAACGTGTAAACGCCGAGCTCCGCGAGCTACTCGAGGCTCCGTCGTAAAACGACTTTTACGGTGTATTTTGCGCGCGATACGTTTCTCTACTCTGTCTCTCTTCCGTTTCATTTATTTCCCTCTATGCGTTTGTTACGTTCGTCGTACTACGCGGCCAAGTACTCTATTGTAGTGCATATGTATATTGCAGATATATACACACACGTGCACACGCACCTATACGTACGGGTCACGCGCGGAGAGGCTAGACAAGGCCGCACGGTACGCACACCAGCCAGCCAGAGCTACTTGTGGGTTCTAAATGTAGAAATGCCTCGCGCCCTGCGGTTAACGAACTGTCCGAGTACACACTCATACACACCTACCTACCTTTGCTATATGTGTGTGCGTGTGTGTGTGTGCTACAGCTGGGGCTAGTACAGCGTGTCGGTGCCGCATATATATAGCCGACCGAACGTCAGCAATTGATCAACGATAGGTTGCGTAAAATTTCGCCAACGCGAGCATCGAACGTCGTGTTTGCTCTACATTTTTTACTTACTACCGAACACGTGTACGTGTGTAGTAGTACTACTACTGGCGAGTGGCGCATTATGCCGAGCAACGAGCGCGAAACCACGTCTTATCGCCAACTCGTTAATCTTCATTAAACTTAAGTATTTTAATTTTCAGATGCTTATCTCGACCTCGTGGATCGGATATTGTGCCGCGCGATGTAAGTGTATTATAGGCAACGTACACACACACACACACACACGAGTACGAGCCCGCAAGCTCGAGCACAGAAATTTTTTTTTCTCTCTAAAAGCTCAATTTCTTGTTTACCTGTAATGCCGATGTGAGTTTATGCAAAGCCTCTTATTCATTTTTTACGATCCTAACAACTATTTCGGCTGAAAGAGGGAGAAAAAAATAAAGAAAAAGGGTTAATTTCTAAATTTGCCGATATGAGCATAAGATCACGTACGCTAAAAGTGTGCCTACATGCATTTTTAAAGTAATTTACGAGCCGCAGTTTCGCGAGTAACTTCTTACAACTACACTACTAGTGGTAGCCGGACTCCAGAGCTTTTATTATCCCACGCACGCAACTTGGGCTTTTCGCAAAGTATCGGCTGTAAAAAAAGCAGATACACATACTCTCGCGTATACAGAGATGTATGCACGAGTTACGTTGTAGGTATTTATTTTGGAAGATCATCGACGATAAATCTCGAGGGTGCATACACGTTTGCTAATTAATTACACAATCTCGCATGGGCGATAAAGCAAACCGAAAAGCGAGCTGCGACTCTTGGTTGCTATTTTCCTGCGAGCTCTCCGAGGCGCCCGAGAATACACATTATATCCGATCATTAAAGCAACTCTTAATTAACTGCGCGTTTTAATTGTCAGCGAATTAGATTTTCGTACGCCTTTTTATTTCATTTGCCGGAGCGAACAATAAACTAAATCACCTCCAGGGACGGCGCGAGAGACAGAGAGAGAGAGAGAGAGAGAAAGAGAACAGCGTATATATTTATACAAAGATGCGCCGCGCACATTCCAGCGCCCTGAGTTTATTAAAGGAGAAACTAAGCTCTGGGAGCCAGAGAAATACCTTGAGCAGTGTTATGCAAATATAATTATAAATTCTATTCTGAAATATGACTTTGTGGAAATTTCAACGGCGGAGTCGTTCCACTGACGTGTATAGACGTCGTAGCCAATATATCGAAAGCCTATATGAAAGATTACATCGGTAAATCCACCGAGAAGAAAAGATTATTAGCAGCCGTGATGAAGAGAGAGAGAGAGAGAGACGTTGTAAAAAATGAAATAAAAGAGCCGAGAAAGAAAAGTGGGAGAGATAAGGTCGGCGAGGAGGGTAATCGATTCCCAATAGTGCGTCGGTTGCAGTAGTACGAGCCAAGCAACGGGCCGCCGAAACGCTATATTATTTCCCGCTTCTGCAGCTCGGCGCGCCTTGCTATATGTATCGCTTTCCTGTGTTCGTGATAAGGAAAGAAATACCCGAAACACCCACATGTATAGAAATTCAAAATTATAAGCTGTTTTCTTTTGTCGCGACGCGGGCCCGACTGAACGGCGACGACACGCTTGGGATAGCAGAAATTTTGATTTATATACTCGCGCAAAGGGGCAAAAGTTCCGCTGCTGCGCTTTTGCCGAGAAATTGGTTTTTTTTTGCTTATACCGCGTAAACCGAGAGACAAGATAAGACTCGAAGCTATCGCACTGGGACTCGGAATTTGGATCGTGGAAAAGTTTTTCCTCTCGCGACACACATTGCGACTTTACTTACATAATATAGCTGACAATTATCAGAGTGTAATAATCTGGTTGTTTGTTCGGTTGCAGATCGCAGACATCGTGATGCCAGCAGCAGCAGCGACGACGGCCGCGGCGATGGCCAATCCCGAGGCGGCACTGGCCGAGCTGGCCATAGAGCCGGCACCGCCGGAAGAGCTGGACGAGCCGCCGGAAGCTCGGCCTCGGGCGGGCTCGTTTTCCTCCCGCAACGGCCTCATGAAGCCCCTCGTCGCCTTGGCCATGCCCGGCATGTATCTCTTCGACAAGTACAGCCAGTACCGACGCGAGCAGAGGGAGATGTCGCGCAGAAAAGTAACGGAGCGCGAGCTGCAGCACTTGCATCATAAAATCGTGAGTTTCCTTTTTCCATTTGCGTATACTTAATATACATCGTGCACAGTAAGTACGACGGATGTAAGCCCACTCGAGATGCTCGGCAGATGGAATTGAAGTAGCTTTTCTCGTCTGTGCCTCCGCAAGCTCAAAGGGTTAGCGTTGCGAAATTTATCAGATTCTCGTCGAGTGCGCGCATGCAGCCGTGCGCGGCTCTGTACTCTGAAGGAGGCTACGAGCGATATGAACAAAAGAGTGCCTGTCGAGGACGGCCCGAGCTCATTATTATCGTAATTCGGGTGACGTTTTTGCATTCTCGTTTGACATTAAAGCAAACATAATCGAGTCGGAGGCACTCGAAAAACTATTGTATACGGTCGCGCGAGACGTATCGTATCTCTCGATTAGTCACCTTCGATGTTTGTTATCTAGCATCGTCTGTATCTTCTCGTCGTCGTCGTCGTCGTTCTGTCGCAAGTGTATCACACGCGACTCTGTATCGATCCTGAGTAGCTATTGTTTTCGCTTGATACTTGGACTTTGAGAAGTTAACTTTCGAGTGAATCTGCCACGTATACATTACCCGATGCAGTAATCAAATGTACGCTGCAACAAAGATTGGGTATGCGTCGCGAAGAACAAAAGGGAGCCAGCCGAATATTTCGCAAAGTTTCCGAATCGATCGGCCTGCTACGTGTTATGACGGTGAGCGGTCGGGGCGGAGCTTTGCAGTTATTCGAAATTTGCTCTCGACATTTTACTCTCTCTCTCTCCTGGGAATGTCTACTTTCTGCTACACGTTCATATATTGTATGTTCACGATAAAGCGGACACTTTTTCCGATCAAATTAAAAATAGTTAGCGACACAAAAATTATAAGTAAAATACACCAAATTAAAGGAAAATGTATGAATTTTACGATGGTGTACTGATATATGCGATAAAAAATCAAAATTTGACATTGTAAAGGTGAGAAATACAAAGTGAAAAAAAAATTTTCGAATTTAGGTTAAAAATGAATCATATCATAAAGTTAATTTTTTTCAACGGTGTTTTGACACGAAAAATTAATGAGAAATTGCAAAATTAGACGAAAATAAATTTTTTTCGCTGACTTTAAAAAAAATATTTTATGCTACAGCGCGAAGAAGAAGACCCCCTTAGCAACGACTGCCAACAATTGACTACTTGCCGTTCGAACAAGTCTTTTCTTTTTCTGACGTTGAAGTTCGGACAGTACAATTTTCATTTGGAATTCGTGAAATTTAGCAAAACCAGTAGATCAATTCGCCGTTGATTGAATTTTTGAATCGATCCACAAAATTACAAGTTTATCTACCAACGAATTGAGGGATAAATAATTTTTGATACAGTAGATTTGTCAACATAAGCTAACTCGTGCTCATTCCGATGGTTTCGCACGACTCAGCTGACTAGATGGATCAATTCACCGTCGATTGAGTTTATAAATAAATCCACAAAATTTTTAATTTATCTGCCGTCGAATAAACCAGAAAAATAAAATTCATCTCCTTGGCGAGTCGATTTGAAAGAGCGTACGCCATTTCAAGCCTGCAATGACGATTCCGCATGATTCGGCCCTCTTCATAGATCAAATCGCCGTTGAATGAGTTTTTGAGTTAACTCACTGAAAAGGAAAATTAATACAACAACACATTATCGAAAAAAATAAAAAATATCGGTCTTGACAGTCGATATCTGCAGGCGCTTGTCATTTCGTGCCCGTCACGAAGGTTTCTCGCGATACAACCCTTTTGACCGATCAAAAGGCCGTTGAATGAGTTTTTGAGTTAATTCACAGGAAAAGAAAATTGATACAGCAACACATTATCGAGAAAAATAAAAAATCTCGGTCTGGACAGTCGATATCTGCAGGCGCTTGTCATTTCGTGCCCGTCACGAAGGTTTCTCGCGATACAACCCTTTTGACCGATCAAATCACCGTTGAATGAGTTTTCGAGTTAATTCACAGAAAAGGAAAAAGAATACGGCAACACATTATCGAGAACGAGTGCTGGACACATTACGAGTGCTGGAAGACTTCCAGTCGTACACGAGGCCGGCCTCTTGGCGACGAGTCTTTTAACCAGCGCTCGAAGACTTCTCGACGTACACGAGGCCGGCCTCTTGGTGACGAGTCGTTCATCGAGCGCTGTACGACTGGTAGTCTTCCAGCAGTCGGTGAACTCTTGTTGCTTTTCAGGCAGGCTTTGCTGACAACAGTAATCTTATAGGCGACACAGGATCTCTTGTCTTCAGGGAGCTATTGTTGACCAATTCGAGCGGCGTTGAGACTTTTTTTTGTATTATATGCAATGACAAGTTTATTTTTAATTATTATTCATCCTACATTTAAATGGATTACATAATTTTTCATTTTTTTGATCTCAACGCGTATGTTGACCTTCTGCTTTTCATTATATTCGCTGCTGGTGATCTGTAAGAAATATAACGTTCAAATTTAATAGATATGGAGAAAAAAATTTTTCTTGTGTTCAATTTTTATTTACGTACTCATTAGAAGTCGTTTCCAATTCCTCGTCAGCTACACGGTGAGTTTGACTCAATTTTGGAGCGTATTTGCCTCTGATAAAAAAATCGTTTAAATAACTATGTCGTTTCTTAAATTTTTGTGGAAAACTTACAACATTTTTTTGACATTTTTCGCAATATTTTCCGTCAGCTCATTCCTGGCCGTGTACTTTCGGAGAGTTTTTCCTACCTCCCTTCTCATCAGTCTTGGAACTTTGGGGTTGTTGAGGCTCTCTTTTCGTAAAGCCTGGCGGAGGTATGTTACTCGCGGGTCGGATATATCCAAGTCGAGGCCTGTGATATTCTCTACGATATCTCGAGCTTTTTCCAGAGAATAAGTTGACAAAACTTGAATATTTTCGAAGTCAATAATTTTATTTCTGGAAATTAAAAAATTCATTGATAATTATGATGACTTTGGCGGATGAAGAATTTAAATGAAAATAATCATGAAAATACTCACAACAAACAAAAATAAATGATCGTAAAAGTCGGAGAAAATTCAAATAAATCAAATTTTAAAAAGTTGTCGACTGAATCAAACCGAGAAATAAAATCCAATACTTTGGTAGCAACAACGTGTTGATGATTTCGTTTCAGGTTAAACGCCGCAGCCACTATTTTCAAACAACTTTCAAGGGAGTTTAATTTAAACTCTTTTTGTCGTTCTTTCATTTTTTTATTCTCGTTCGATAAAACACTTCGAAAAATAAGGAATTTGTCCAGTTTCTTAGCAAAATAGGACGAATCAAAAATACTTTGATGGCTCATGATTAATGCACAATATTTCTATCAGAAAGAGACACTGACAATGAATAACGAACACACTATACCAACCAAATTGATGTGAAGTAAGTAAAATGAAGTACATATGATCAATGGAATTATAAAACCATTATGTGGTTTCATAATTATTTTTTATTAGCGAGTTTCACGGAAAAATCAATCACTTCCTCATATTCGGAAGATTTTTAGCAAGTATTAATAACGTATCTACGACGATGACTTTCTTCCAGCGCTCGGTGAACGACTCGTCGCCAAGAGGCCGGCCTCGTGTACGACAGGAAGTCTTCCAGCGCTTGTAGACGTACTCATACCTTACTCTTGTACCATGTTGAGCTTTTTGTGTTTATCGAGCATGCAGATCCAATTAAATGCTTTATAATAAAATTATTTTTTATTTCGGAATTAAAAATACTAAATAACAAACATACTACATATAATTCTCGCAAATACATAATAGAAAATTTAAGCATTTTGTCCTCGGCGAGTTTTTAACAAATGCTGGAAATGCCCTCCATTTTCCTGTAAGCAGATCGTCACTCTTTTTCTCATCTGACTAGCCGCTTTTATCAAGGACTCCCTCGGGTAACGCTCACATTCTTCTTCTATAAATTGTATCAACTCATCTTGATTTTGAGGCGTCTATTGTACATCAATTGAATGGATTAAAACACATTTTTCATGTATTATGCGTATTAGCCAAACAATTATGTATATTTACCCGTTTGTATACACGTCGTTTGAGATCTGCCCAAAACCCATAGTCGCACAAATTGAAATCTGGCGAATGAGCAGCCCAGGCTACTGGTCCTCCTCTACCAACCCAACGATCAGGGAAGTGTCGATTGAGGATAGCCCTCACTTGTCGACTGCTGTGAGCAGGAGCTCCATCTTGCAGCCACCACGCATTCCTGTTAATCTCTAATAGTCTCGGAATAGCGTGTCTTCTGATGAATTCTCCATAAATTCTCGAGTTGACACTACCTTGAAAAAAAAACGGACCGACGAACTGATCCCCAATAATTCCGATCCATACCATTATCTGGAAATTCGAAAAATCAATTATTCAGACATTTTTATAGTTTATTAATAAATAAATTACCTTAAAACCTGGAAAATGTTTTTTTTCGTCGATCCAATGCGGATTTTCGTGAGCCCACTGTCGTCGTAATTGTTGATTCTTATATGTAGTATCAATGAATGTGCTCTCATCGGTAAAACATACCTGAGAGAAAAAATTTTCATTTTCATCTGCAATAAGGAATTTATTGATTAATTATAAAAATTTGATGATAGAATTTTAAAATTACTTTACCTAAAAATTCCAAAGCCCATTGGGAAAAAGTAATTCTCGCTTCATAATCAGTTTGTCTGAGTTTTTGAACCGGAATCGGTTTGAAAGATTTCAATTTGTGCGATTTCAAAATGTTGAACACTGAAGTAGGCGGTGTATCTATTGAATAATTCATAACAATGTAAAACTGACTACATGATATAAGAGCACCGTCCACGTAAGCTTGATCCACGCGCCATTATTGTATTTTTTGCAAAATTTTTCGTATCACGGACTCGTTTACATACAGAGAAATAAAAGAAAATAAGAAATATTTTAAAATATAATCGGGTGGTCGGCTTATACTAGATGCGCACATCAATTTTCATAAACTCACCAGTTAGGCAAG